TGGTCCCCGGGCCGCCTTCTTGCCCTGCGTGCCCTGGCTACATGACCTAATTTGCTCCGTGCTTGGTCGGTTCGCAGCGCTGTGATTTGTCCCAACTTCCTCCCGGAAACCCCAGCCAGTGCCCACGGTGCCCCGTTGCGCGCAGTTTCTTCACCTCTCTCCCCATCGTCACATCACCGGCACCAATTGGTCCCATATTCCCTATCGAGCATCATCACCAGTCGCTAGGTCATGGTGTTCTAACCTGCCTCTTTACCCCAAATCACATCCTAGACTAGGTCGCTATTGTTCACCACAATCCAGGCGACAAGATGTCGGTCGCAAGCAAGGTAAGCTCGCCCTCTGGTTCTGTCCCTCCCGACCTTTTTCAAATCCTCTGTTCGTCGTCATTTTGACCTCGCCATTGTGTGCGTCGTCGTTGTTACCGTCAATTTCCGGAATCCTGTTGTTGTCGTCGTCTGCCACAATTTTTCACCACCTCGTCGTCCATCGTGGAATCCCATACTGACAATGCTTCCCAGAACCTGTTCGAGCTCCTCGGTATGAATACCCTCGATTGCGATCCCTCCGACGAATGATCCCTCGCTGTCTGGACATGCCCTAACCCCCCACGACAGGCAACGATGCCGAGGATGACACCCCTCAGGCGCCCGTGAAGACGGTCGATAAGTCCACCATGCGCTCTACCAAGCGCAACGCCGAGCCTGAGGCCCCCTCGCGCGCCGCCGCTAACACCGGTGCTCGCCGCAACAACGCCTCTGGCAACGAGGCCGGTACGTTTGACCTCCATTGCCGTCTTTCCTCCCGAGGAGACGCAACCTCGACCCCGCTTTGTGGCTCGGTTCGCTGACCCAACTCTGCCGACAGCTTTCCGTGACCGTGGTGCCGGCAGCGACCGCAACCGTGGTAAGACCACCGAGGAGTCTGCTAGAGGCGGCTCCCGTGGCGGCTACGGTGCCCGCGTCCGTGGAGGTTCGTACTCGCCCCGTCGTCGCCTGCCGCGAGCAATTCGCGCACGGCGGCCGAGACTCGGTCCATTCACTAACATCAAACAGGTCGCGGCGGCCGTTTCCCCCGTGAGCGCGACGACCGACACACCAAGGGCCAGGCCACGTAATTCCTCCCCGTCCCGTCATGCCAGCTTCAAAGCTAACCCACCACAGCGGCGGTTCCGACAAGCAGGCTGCCCAGTCCTGGGGTGCCACCGAGGGTGATGCCGAGCGCAAGGATGAGCAGGCCGGCGAGGCCATCGCTCAGGCCGAGGCGAAGGATGCCGAGGCCGAGGCTGCCGCCCCAGTTGAGCCCGAGGAGCCCGAGGACAAGAACATCTCCTACGCCGACTACCTCGCCCAGCAGGCCGAGAAGAAGCTCGCTCTTGACTCTGGCCTCGAGGTCCGCAAGGCCAACGAGGGCTCCAAGCTCAAGAAGGAGTGGGCCAACGTCAAGGAGGTCTCCCGCGACGAGGAGGACAACTTCATGATCGGCACCGGAGGCAAGACCAAGCGTGAGCGTGAGCGCAAGACCAAGCAGCTCCTGGATATTGACCAGCGCTACGTCGAGCCTGAGCGCCCCCGTGGCGGCCGTGGCGGTCCTCGCGGTGGTGCCCGCGGTGGTGCCCGTGGCGGTGACCGTGGCGAGCGCGGCGGCCAGCGTGGTGGTGCCCCCCGTGGTGCTCCCCGCGGCGGTGCTCCCCGTGGCGGTGCCCCCCGCGGCGGCTCTGCTGCCATCAACACCAAGGACGAGTCTGCTTTCCCCAGCCTCGGCGGCAAATAAGTTATGCCACCTAAGATCTGCCAACATACAGGCAAGAAATGTGCCTCGACACATGTTTCCGCTCTAGCCAACAACGATGGGTACGGAAGGGAAGGGCCAGTTTTCGGGGAAAATTGAAGAAGGATGGTTTTGCGTCACATGGCTTCCGAGGACTGGGCCGGCTGAATTTCTGGTCGTTGCACAATGAATGAAAGGCTTTTTTCTCATCTAGGTACTCAAGGAACGGTATCGTTCAAAAAGTCAAAAATGGTCTCTTTGCATGATTTTCACTGCTTTTCCGGCCCGGTCTGCTGCAATGGTTAAGGTGTACGCGTCATGTGGTATCAGCCACGACGTAACGGGGTCTGTATTGTTAACGGATGCTTTACCAAAGCTGCTTCATGAGGACTTGCATCGTCTAAGTGCTCATCAAGTTGTTGATATAACAAGGTAACCCGCGGATGCTCTTATGCAAGACCACAGAGCACGATCAAGCTTGGTCGTGAGCATTCGATTGTCTAGTTTCCAAGCCCTCCAAGGCTGTTGGGGTGCGTTGTAGGTGTTATGATCTTTCACAGCATTTCCATGACATGACTTCTAAGCAACTACCCAAGGTATACTCGGAAGACGCCAAGGCAGGATACCAATGGTTGGATAAGCACTCGTCAAAGTAGAATGCCTAGGGTCTAAAACATACCGGCCGTGGGAGTCTGATCATCGGATTACGCTTACAACTTGCTCCTGGAGGTCGATATGAGCAGGCGACTGTGTATAGTTGAGCTGAAGGATGCCATATCATTCTAGGGGATAAAGTAAGCCGCTTGCGATAGGTACTGACACTTAAGTAGCTTCAGTAAGAGCACAATCAGTGGATAAAGAGCTCCTCTGAAGAGATGAATTCCCGTACTCTGCCAAATCCGCTAGGCTTACTTGGGCTCTCGTGGAAGTTTGAACCCTCGAAAGCGAGAAGCGCTTGGTTCAGGCTGAGATTTCCTGTCAGCGCGAGCTTCTACAGCATGTGAATCTCCGACGAAGACCTCACCTCACGCGTTCATTCCCTTGGCATCCTTAACTGATGCCCGTTTGTATACTTGGACGGCACCGATGAAAGTTAAGTGAAGGCGTGAGGTAGACATCGCGCTTCACGATACGAGCGCGGGTCCTGAAGGCGGTATCCAAGATTGTTCTCGCGCTTGGTAGTGTCAGATGGTCCCAGAGGTCGGAATTGCCTAGGTTGAGGTCAAAAGGATAGCGGAGGACGATTTATACGAGGCATCAGCTCGACTTTGGGTCACGGGTCTTGTGCGGCTCGTCATCAGCGACACCTCGTCCATGATGGCTTCAAGTCCAATCTTCGGGTGTGGGCATGCTGTGAGAGTGTGCATGCAATCAAGACGCTGAACCTGAGTCAAAATGATGCCAGGTGCCTATAAGAACCCCAGTGTTTACGGTTCAAGTCGTCCTTCTGAACGCAAGACCAATACGTGCTCACTAGGATCTTGTTTCCTTGTACATGGTGGCTCAGGAGTCGAGTTCGCCGTCATGATGTGACTTCGGCTAGATTCTTGGATCTCTCCAATTCCCTTTACATGCGTTGATTTGCATCGTTGCCGTCTCTCTTCTCTGGTCCCGGTGTATTCTAGGGGCATATTCGGAGAGTGGAATAAGTAATGCTCATCATTGCCCGCATCACTCAGCAAACACATAGATAGAGATTTGTGTGTGCTTATCATGAATTACGGCAGAGAGGTCTGACATGTTAGCTCTGCCTCGTTGGGTCATTGATTGGCGGTGGGAGAACTAAGCTAGAGCGGCAGCTGTAAAGAACTTATACACAGCTCAGCTCACTAGACGGAGCACCGGACGAACTACAGTTTGCCCCTACCGTGAAATCCCTGACTGAGTGGGCTATGAAATGTTTTTGAAATTCGATTGGTATGTCGCGGGACCATCAACGAGGAGAAGCCCCGACAGTGTCGAAGGTTGTTGGAACTTTCCCGGCTCTCACGATTTTGAGCTTCCAACCGCGAACGTAACTTCGCTCACGCCAAAACGAGCAAAAAGTAAACGTCGAGGAACATTAATGATACGATTGCCTGCGCCTCCCATCCAGGCTTCCGCTACTGCGACGCATCGTCCGCATCGAACTCTTCCGGCCCCACCACCGCCGCGGCGGCCGGTAGCAATGATCCCACATCTGCGGCATCCGCCCCGGAGGTAACCGCAATGGCGGGACCAAATCTACGAATACGGGGCGTATCAGGACAATAGATCCTAGAGTAGGTTAAACAGACGCACGTATCAGGCTGTGCTCAGGAGTTGATACAGATTCAAGCCGCCGGCAACGTGCATACACAGTCATGGCTGCTGTGCGTCGTAAGCGGGCCTGGAGCCAGGTAAGACAGTAGAATAAAAATATACATTTTATTAGACACAAGACTTCCAAATGAGTAAACTCGCTTTGGACCATTGTAAACCGTTATCTGTTCGTATCGCGCTTACCAATGGGCGTTGGTCCTGTGCATCAGGCTGCTGCAACATCAAGCAGGCTGGACTTGGCGACAGCTCATATCCGTGAGACCCTGCATTGGTCGCCTGGCAATATCCAGAATAGCTTGAATAAATATATTTGGGCATTGATGTCGCAAGAATTTCGTACAGTCTCCTTGCATGAGTCAAATCATTCCAGCAGCTTCAGCAGCATTCATCTCCCCTGACACAACGCTAGTTGGCTGCAAGTCACAACATGAACGTAGAGTCTCGTGTGCATGTATCATCAAGGCAAGTCCGACGATAATCGACTGTCACAGAGGAGAAGAAAAACGTCATGACTGACAGACTCAACTGTCTCAGCTACCAAGTCAGTAGCGACAACATAAAAAACCACAGGAACGACATCGGAAGTCACTTAAAGTCCAAGACCTACGTACGCATCACCGATGATGAAGAAGAACCCGCCCACCAAGTGCGGCGATCGAGCCATGTCAAGTTTTCCAGTGTTCTAAAAGACGGCGCTTCGATCGCTCTCCCGCTTGCATTCACAGTGTTTGTAGTTGTGCTGTGGCGTCTAAACGGATCTCCAAGCGGGGACAGCCTCGAGAAGTTACGGGAAGACGCTATTCGATACGTAAGTCGAACCTTCACATGGGGCCTCTTCCTGCACACAGGATGAGCATCGTGATAAAGATTTGCAACTGTAGCTTGCGAGTACCTTCCCAATCCTGTTTGCGGGCATTACAGGCAAACTGATGTCCGAGATCGTGCGTTGGAAGCTAGAGCGAGGAGCAACCGTGGGGCTTCTCGAACAGTTGAATGGTAGTCAAACAGTTGGCTCAACTGTCATGACCCTATTCAGCTTCGGCTCATTCAATCTACTAAGCATCTTATTGCTCATCACGTGGGCGTTCTCTCCTCTTGGAACCCAGGGCCTGCTGAGGATGGAATCCCGACGAAACGAGCCGCGGGTCAAGGATATAACTATCACCTACTTCGACGATGATGCCAGGAGTAGGCTCGTCAAGTGGCAGGAGCTCTTTTCAACTGGATCATTCGGCCCTACTCCAGGTATGCGCTCTTTGACGTCTCTGTATGCGACTCTTGTCACTACGCCGGAAGCTACGAAATTCGACACCATGGACCTGTGGGGTAACGTTAGGATACCGTTCTTGAATCACACTGAGAACGAATGGAGAGACCTGCCCAGTAATTCTAGTGAGATTGAGTATTCTTCTTTGGCTGGTATTCCAATCAGCAATCTTGATATTGGCAACACGACCTTTACCGTAAGGTCCAGCTATCTTGACCTCCGCTGCCACAATGCAACTGTTCTCACTGGTGATCAGGCACCTGAGGGCTTCTTTGCACATTTGGACCATTCAATGATGGATACAGCGGCCTCGTCTGCGGAGGATCTTAAGGACAAGATCTTCCGGATGCCAAACGGCACCTGGCATGGATACAACTTCACCAACGGGGATGCGACGACCTGGAGCTTGGCTCTCGACCGATTTGTAGATCCCATTTGGCTGCTCAAGAATAGAACGACAACCCGGGAACTTGAGTCGGACGACCGTTCCGCCAAGCGCGAGCGACCCATTCTGTTCAGGAACGAGACGGGCATCGACGTCGGCCCTACGACTCTCCTGTTCGAGGCATACGCCGTGAGTGCCTTCACCGACAAACAACTGCGTGAACACAATCACGTCAAGGCCACCTTTGGCGTCACCCAGAAATACGTCGAATCCCGGGTTGCCTGCAGACTGGCTGCCGCCGACAACACGAAGCCAAGCTGCAGGGTGATCAGCCAAAGACCGTCGCAGCGACGGCATGCGCCAGAAGGCATTACGCACCTGTCATTCCCCAAGGTGTTCAACCTCCTGTCGCAGAGACTACCGCTCGTAGTCGGGGGCTCGGTCAACTACCAGGCGGACTTTTCGCTATACTACCTGAAGGACCCAACTCTCAGGGACATGCAATCCGACGAGAGGGCGTTTATGAAGTCCTACACCGCCGAGACACTGGAGATCCGTCTAGCTCAGCTTCTCAATACGTTCTTGGCCGTGAGCCAACTGTCTTTCGAAATCGCAGGAAGAGGGTCTGCTCAAAGGAAAGATTCGGCTAACGTGGTCTCCCGGTCGAACGAGACTGTCCCAGCTGAGTTGAGGGAGCTTGTGGTTGTGGTCCAAATATCAGATGTGTGGGCAGCCGTTTGCTTGTCGTCGGGTGTTGTTCTCCTCGCGGCGGGGGTAATGGGAGTGGTCTTCAAACATCGGGCAAGGGGGCCTGAGATCTTTGGTTACATATCAACCATATTCCGCGATTCAAAGTACTTTGATCTCTCGCCCAAGGCTGATCTGTTGGATGGAGGGGACTTGTCAAAAACGTTGAGAGAGCTCCAAATCCGACATGGCAATGTTGGGTCCAAGGACGGAGAGCCGGTTACCGGTGTTGTACCTCTGGGAGACACGGAAATGGACCATCTCAACTAGTCGAATAACACCGGCGATAACGAGTTAGCTGTCGTTTGTCGTCGCCTCGCCCCGTCGATGCTATGCCGTCATGTCGCTACCAGGTGAATTCGATTTGGTAGGTCTTCCCAGCGCGTCTCCATGGTGTTGACCTGGATAAAACCATCAACCTGAGCATCAGCTCAAAAGTCGCCAAAGTATTTGCGACGAATCTGATCCATTCTGAGCTCATGTGGCATAGGCTCTACAAACTTGTCGACATCCTGCTGCCAAAACTGATTTTGAGGGTTCACATGCCACGCAGAAGAATATTCCCAATATGAGGGCAGCCATCCCGCGGTCTCCCAGTCGACGACGCCCACCACATCATCATCCCGGACCAACACATTTAGGCTGCTGAGGTCTCCGTGAGTAAACACCAAGCTGTCATCCCAATGACGGTAGAAGTCCAACAACTCATTTACATCTGCAAAGTGGCCTCCACCGTCAGCTTCCAGGGATAGAGGTTGAACGAGTTCTCTGTGGAAGTCCTTTGCTGCAGCAAACGGCCCCCAAAATTCCTTTGACGGCAACCGGCAGTCCCATATAGGCCCTCCATCGACATTAGAGACTCCCGCTCCTCCAGATGGCGATGGGATACCGCGCAACTGGCAGACGATATCCTTCAACTGGTCGAGAATCTGCTTTTTGGACGCCTCCGATCGCTGTACCCAGCCCATGCAAGCCATGTTTCCGTCGATCCTTGTCATCACGATGTAGGTTTTCCCCCGGTGAATAAACGTGCAAGAGACTCGGGGAACCGGGATCGAGGTTTGTCGGTGTATGAACTTCAGAGCGTGCGCCTCGCCCAGACTCGCGTAGGGCTTCACCTTGATGTAGAGACCAAACTTTGAAACCAGGCTTTGTGGCGATTTACAGATGTATCGGCGGAAATATCTGTTTGTTGTGATCCAGACTGTCGTGAGGATAAGTGCCCTTTTGAAGGCCCCGGCGTTTACAGACGCGCTCTGCTTCGTATCCCCAGCATCAGACATCGTCACTGAGGATGTCTGGAATTGATCCGGATTCTCGGGAGGGGAATCTTTGGAGTCGATCAGAATTCTCTTGAGAGCTATGTCTGGAATTGATCGGCATTCTCGCGCGGAAGATGTCTGTTTTATCTGGTTGTGCATTCGTTGGTGGAAACGTGCTGTTCAGCCGGTGCATTCAAATGTATTTGGTTGCTGAACAAACTGAGATTACATTAACAAAGAAACCCGACTCCTTCTGCGTATGATCCGTGCCTTCTGAAGTCTGCCGCCTATCTTTCCTGCGCTCCAGCGACTGCTTTTCCTGTGGTTATCTTATATACTGTTTACTTTACCTTACACACTGCTTACTGTACCGCCGTCGTCGCCGCTATTATTATTACTTCTACCATCGTCATCTATCATCGCTACCTTATCTCTCTACTGCGTCTTCAATGGGAGTAGTCACGTACACAGGTAATGTAGCCGGTCTCAAATTTTGGGCACCTTGCGTGTACGCCAATGGGAAAGCTCTCGAGAGGAAGCGCAACATCGTCATAATTTCCTAGCTTCTGTCAGAACCAGGTTGTGATCTCATCTTGTCATCGACAATGGAGAGCACGAAACCAGCAAACAAAACTTCTGTTCATGGCCGCCGTCAAGAAAACTTTCATCTGGCCTAGACCAACAACACATGCCGAAGCTTTAGGCCTTGGCAACAAGACCGCCTGAACAATACTCAGCAACCAAGCGACCCACGGCCCCGAGGTCCCAAAACCCGACCTCTTTTTCAACTGGCCATCAAGGCACAAAGCGAGCATTTGTTTAGCGGAAGAAAGGGCTAGGACAATGTGTGATCCATCTCAAAGATTGCGAAACACACTCGGAGTCTCTGCAATGGAATTGTCCTCATCCTTTAATTAGGCCCACGAGAGGTCAGCCAGCCCCTTTCCCATAGAAAACCGAATCAAGTAAAATTGTATAAGATCATCTCCAGATTCCTGCTTCACATTTCAAATTACCAAGCGACTCCAGTCGAGAAAATCAGTCAAGTCACCTGTCGAGATCACCAGCAGAATGCCTCTCCGAAAACAACCTCCTGCCGGACACCCGTCGGTTCTGCAAACAGTCCCTACCAAGTGCCCCTACTGCATCGACAGCAGAGCTGCCCGGAAGCAAGACGGCTTCCGCACTCGCTTCAAGCGCCTGTTCAAGCGCAGCAGCCAGTCGGTCTGTCACGCATGTGGCCAGTCAGGACGTCAGATGCTCGAATTCCACGAGGTAAACTACACCAGCGAGAGCACCGCTGCTAACTCTACTGAAACGCAGCCTGTTGGCCCCTGGAACGAGACATTGGAAGAAGCCTGGGAGGATGATGCCCCGAGTGATTTGAACGTTGATCTCCAGGGCGTCGAGGCGATTCCCTCTCAGCGACCCACGAGCTTGGATCCGAAGCTGGTGAATGACTGGTTTCTTGACCAGTGGAGCGTGGTGCGTAAAGACAGATTCTTCAAGCGATGGGAGCGATGGTCTTACCGGAAGCTGCGGCGATCGGCTCGTAGACCCCGTCGAGCTCGATACAACCTGACTTCTACACCCCTAGAGGACATCCCCGAAGATGCTGAGCCGTTATTGTTACCGCGTCCACGCATGCCCCTCGACTAAGTATCTGAGTTGGGGATTCCTAGGATGCTTTGAAGACAAGTTTTGTTTCATGGTTGTGGGCGGGTTGAACGTTACAAGACTGTAAGCTGAAAAAGGTGAGTAGGCAGACTGTCACATGTAAGAGAAGATTCAAGAGTAGGACCGCAATAGGTAGTTCTGCGCTAAAGATAATCAAGATCGGTGTAAGTTAAGTATGTTCCCGTGTTTATTGATATGTATCATTACTGTCTGTCTCTGTAAAGACGAGCAGCATCAATGCCCAAGCTAGCAAGGAGAAGGATGGCGTTGAAGGACGCCATCATGTAGAACGGCGCACCGTTGGATACGGCATCGAACATGAAGCCGCCCAGCTTGGTGAGAAGCAAGATTGCAGCCCCGCCGAACCAGGAGTACATACCGGCGATGGAGCCCTTGAGTCGCACTCGCGACACGGCGTCCACGCTGGCATTGTGTTGCAGTAGTGGCGCAGCTTCTGTGGGCGTTTCCATAGCTTCCGCGGAGTCCTCAACTGTGTCAATCTGCTGAGACTTGGGAATATCAGCGGTCAGCACGCCGCGGCCGAGGGAGCCCAGACTGCAGACGATCGCTCCAATCTGGCTAACGCCGATGAGTATTACAATAAGGAAGACAACAGGGCTGCCACCTCGACCGTCGACGTCCTTGTATTCCGGGCTGGGTAGCTGAGGGAAGGCGATGTAACCGACGATTCCGAAAGTGGTAGCGATGATGATGGGGACATTGAAGCGGCCACGCCTTCTGTTAAGGTAGCCGAAAACAGGGGCCGCGAAAAGACCAAGTAGCTGCGCCACGCCTGATAGGATAGATGCCAGGAGATAGGCCGCTCTGCACTCCTTCTTCAGTTCGGGGTTTGGATCATTCGGAGATCCATGGCAAAAGCCGTTGCCGATGAAGAAGGTGTTAATGTACAGAGGAAGGAAAAGGGAAATTGCAACTGTCGAGGCGCGGGCTACGAAGCCACCCAAATACCCGAGGGCAATTTGGGAATCGGTGAAGCCCAGGGTAATAGAGTCTCGGAGGAGACGGAAGTAAGGCAGAACCTTCTGTTGGTTGTTAGGTGTGGTCCCAAATTTGGAGCAAGTTGACATACCGGCCGGTGCGGGTGGTCTGATCCATCTTCGTTGGAATCGTCCTCTGAGCTCGTGTTCGCTTTGAGTCCCAACAAGACGTTCCAACCCTTGCCTTCCTCGCCCTTTAGGTTTCTCAGCCCAAAGAAGACAAAGATTGCCACCACGAATGCGACAATTCCCACGACATAAAAGCTCTCTTCGACAGCCTTGCCCGGGGTCACGCCGTCAACTTCGCCGAAACGAGCGGGAAGCGGCAGGAACAGGGAGAGCGCAACCAGCGCGCCGCATCCCGTGAACAGTCCGACGTAGCCTGCGAGAGCCGACGGTTTGCCAGCCTTCGCCTCATCCAAATCGTTCCCTGTTGCGGCTTGTCCGTTTCCTCCGATGCGGTACCGCGCTGGGGTGATGGTCATGTCGGACTCGAGGGACATGGCGATGCTGTGTCGGGGGTTATTGACCGGCTTCGCGACATTCGCGGAGCCGTCAGACTTGTCGTTATCATCTGTCAGAGACGGCAAAATCGCTGTAACCATAGTCGCCCTGAAAAGCTCCGTCAGTCCACCTTTCCAACCTTTGACCTCGGTTGAAGCTACTTACGCGGCAGTCGCGCCGAGAGCGAAGAAGATGCGCGCCAGAAGCAGCTGCGGATAGATGTTGCGCGCCTGAACGAACAGCATCAAGGCCGCGCCGATGATGGCATACCCGATTACAGCCACCCATCTTACACCGAGCCGATCCGAGACGAGGCCCCAAACCGGACATGCGAAGAGTGCGACGAGCTCATCGACGAAGCCGAGGGTACCGACGATGTCGCCCACGCCGTCCTTGACGCCAATTAAGTCGGTAATGACAAACGATATGCTGCTGTTGAGGAAAACGAGAAAGGAAATGGAGAAGAGAGAGATTCCGAGTAGGTACGTCACTGCTTGCAGTGTAGTAGTCGCCTCGGAGAAGGGCAGGTAACGGGACAAGACGGCCATGGTGAAAGTCGCTGAAAGTGGTGTTGTGCTGAGCAATTGAGGGTGTTCTCCTTTTTGCCGCAGACCACCGTCCGGTCCGAAGCTTACATCTCGCGGTGGGCGGTGCGAGATGGCGAGGAAAGAGTTGGGGAGAAGGTTGTTTTTGTTTGTTGTTGATCACAAGGGAGAGAGAGTTAAGGTGGGTGGGTAGCTGCGCTTGCGGGTACGGGACAGGTGAGCATCATACACCTAAGGTCCCTGCTTCCCGGGCGAGCCGCCTTACATAAGCCCGCACATGGAACTCTCACCGTACCCATCTTATTACGCACTCGACCGGACACCCGCTGGAGCTCGGAGTCCTGAATCGCCGACAGCGGCTACGGCACTTAGACATCGCTAGCATGCTGACTGATGATATAGTGCGACAACGGACTTTTGTGTTTTGATGTCTGACCCGTTGCTTGCGATAGCCGGGCATTGTATCTGATTTGCCACAGAACTTACCCCAAGCTGTGGCTCCCTTATAGTTCATTACTACGCCCAACGCCTACGGTGCAGGCAATCTTCGACACCTTGCCTCCGAAAATGCCAGTAATTGACTAAACCTGCTGGATCCCTGACTCCGTTGCTGTTCCAAACCGTTCCTTTTATCAGGGCGCATCCGTCCTTAACCCATCTACCAAGCCCAGAGCACCTTGTGATGTAGCACACGAGCTCCAAGTCGCTCAAACTCGAACGGAGTGACCCAAGAATCGTTGGCGGGGAGCTTGGCAAAGACACTGGCCCCCTTCCAAGTGACAACCTGCTCATCCATGTCTCTGGCACTCCTGCTGACGAGGATGCGGTCGAAAAGGTCAGGCCTTCGTGCCTTGAGCTTTTCCTCCAGGACTACGGTGAACTGTGGCGTTTTGGAACCTCCGCCGATGACCATGATACTGCCAAGGTAGTCTCGCAGCTTCTTGTCGTCACCCTTTGCGGCATTGTTAATGCTCGTAAGAATGGCAATGTCAAGCGGCGCATGTGGCAGAACAGCATCGCGTTCAACGGCCTGCGCCTTCGCGCTGCGCGCCGCTGAATCAACAAACATGCCGGCCGGTGGTTGCGGCGCCGCAGTACCATTCGGTCCTGGGGTACCGCCGTTTCGTACAGGCGGAGCAGGACTGCCTCCGTTGGCACCCTCTTTGTTGGCTCCGAAAATGAACGGTGCTGATACAGGGGTGCTGATTCCTTCCGGGGCGGGCGACGGGGCATTAGAGCCTGACGGCGTGCCGTTGATGCCATTGTCGCGCTTGAGGAAGTCGAACGGCTGCAGCTTCTCCTTGACAGGCGTGGAGACATCGGGTTGGGACTGACTGAAGCCGTTCGTTGGCGCTGCGTTCAACGATGGCTTGACATGAGCGAGGATCGCAAATTGTGCCGCAGATATTGGGTCATCCGGAATATCAACGTCATAAGCGTTGTAGGACCTGTCAATGAGCTTGCGCCTGCTCCTCAGCTTCGTGCTGTTGTCGAAGATGGATGGGTCGTAGAAGCCCATGGGGGCGAGAATGACTTCGTCGTATGTCTTGAATTGGTATTTGTGCGTGGGCTGATTCGGGGCTCGCAAATGGAACTGGTATAGTTGAACCGAGATGTCTGCTTGCGACATGGTGCAGTGCTTAATCTTGAGCTCTTCGGCCAACTGGAAGTCATATCTTCTTCGCAAGTTGATATCCTGGTAAGGGAAGTTGTCGTACAGAAGCATCTTGACGAATGTCTCCGTTACGTCCCAACCGCCGTATTTCATGTTGATGCGCGAGTCTTCCACGCAAAGACCGTCTTCGACACACGTAATTGAGGTCTTTTGGGCTCCAACGTCGACGACACAGGCCTGTGTATATCCGGCGCCAAAGGTAGCGGCCATACTCTCCTGGATGAAGCAGATGCGGTTGAACTCGAACCAGGTCATGCAAGACCTGAGCACCTGCTCGACATACTTCTTGTCGTAGAGGTCAGGTATAACAAAGACGCAGCTGTACTGTCTCCACGTGCTGTTCTTGGTGAGTCCAAGTTCCTGTCTGATAGCCTTGTCCAGCAGAGTCTCGAAATCGTCGAACAGATGTTCCGCGTTAGTGTAGTCGTCTTCGTTGAGAACTCCGTGTTGTAATGGCCACCACAGCTTGAACTTCGGCTGAGAGTCGTCTGGCACTCTCTGCGCCTGATTTCCGATGAAGCAGGAGGCAGAAGACTTGGGGTCTTCCAGGTCGTTGACATCGGTCCAGTCGATTTGCAAGGGGTCGTTATGTGTTTGGATAATTTCAGGCTCGGTACGGCGATTGTAATTCAACACCAATTCCTTTGAGTTTGGCAAGACCTTGCGCTTGTTTGCGCGCATGTCGAGTTTGAGATCGTTGCTCATCTTCGCGTACTTCTTGGACCACTCTTCCCCGTATTGTTGGTCTTGTGTCTTCGCTTCGAACTGTCGTCGGGGAAGCGCCTCGTGCATCTCAGCCTCGGTTTGAGGAAACTTGGTCGCAAGTGTCATCGGGATCGATTTGGGAAGAGCATCGCTGGCGAAACCAATGCGGAGGTTCTGGCTGCCGGGATGGATGACGATGACCTTAGAGGGATCCAAGCCTACAGCAGCATCGCCGGGCGCCTCCTCAGGTTGAAGCTCGGGAATGACGAGGGGTACCTCAGCGCGACCGCTTTGAGCAAGAGCGCGGTCTCTATCCTTCGCTGCCTGCACGATTCTATCGCGAGTGGCATCGCCCTGGAGTCGCAGAGCAAGAATCTGATCATCGCGCTTCATATAATCCCTGCCGTTCACGTATGTATCAGCATCGATGCGCCTGGCGCTGGAATCGTGGTTCAGGAATGGACGTACGTGTAATAGTTCTTCTGGTTGATGGGCGTGACATCTGGCCAGCTTGTCTGCTTCATGCCATTGTCGGTTCTCTCCAGGCCTGCGCGTTGCGGTCAGCTTCAATGCTTCGAACAGACGGATCGAGGCTACTCACCCTCCCGAAGGAGAACCCTCTCACTGACTTTCCCTACCATCTTTTAATGTTTCCCCTACGTCTGGAGCCAGATAGGGAGTTGACGCTGCTGACATGAACTCCAATTGGGGGAACAGATCCAAATCGCCAGCCTCAAGGATTCGCGACTCTCAGCCTGTCGCAGCTACCAACCATCGTGCTCTGGAGAGCCAGCCCGCTGGCCTGTGCTTAGGGAGCTAGACCAAACTGGGTATAGCGTATTTCCGTCTCGGACGAATGTTTCCCCTGGTCCGCCAGCCCTGGATGACTTACATAATAATCAGACGAACCAGTCGGGACCGAGGAAGGCTTTTGAGTCTCCGAATCTACCATGAGTATACGCAGTACGGCTGCTCTTTCTCAGACAATACCCGCCAGTCTTCCGCACAGATCTTTGTCAAACCCACAGGAATGAGGCATCAACACATTGCATTGCGTGCCTCCACATTCAGTCAACTCTACGGCAGAAGCGGAGCTCTTGGCACGGCTCGCGAAATTCAGTGGCGGCGACTCGAATGGCTACGGCTTTACGACAACCAGCGAGTGATCCTTGTGGTGTCGCTGCATGGCGTGCACAGCTGGACACAGTTGAGATCAAGACGAGAATGACACGATTCCGCTCCTTCCCTACCTCAGTTGGGTAGGGAAAGAAGCTTAGTTTTTGGCGACTCAACGCGGTCCAAGCACCTCCCGGGAGAAGGCCGTCTTGCGGCTTCAGTTGGGCAGCAAACCATTGGTCATGAGCTTCACTTCTGGCCACCTGGTTCGGCCTTGGATGCGTATCTGGCCTGCCCGCTGCATGCTTTACAGCTTAAGTTGACTGTTGCTTGTTTGCATTGAGCAGCGACCGAGTGGATGAACTTGACACAACAGCTCCCGCCGAATCAAAGTGCAAACGAGAAACCTCCTGGCCAGCATGTCCCGGGAACTCTCGGTGGGAGCTCCGTCCACCTCCAAGTTTGCCAGCGTGCAAGTGCACCAGGCCGGTCTGTTGAGGTGAGTGATTTTGAGGAAGATAGAGACACCTCACATCCAACATTTCCATATCCCATCTTGGGCATGATGGCCTTGTCAAGGTGACAATCAGCAGCTGCCTTTCGGGTACTCTAGCGCCTGAAGTCTGCGGGCCTCTGTTTATGCCGCTGTCTCTTTTGTTGCTGGTTGTTGTCTGTCATCGTCGTTGCCGTCGTTCAGCGCCCCATGCTCCCCGAAGCAACTTCCTTCTCCGGACATGACAACAAGCCAACGTTCCCGAGGCAGGAACAGGTCACGGCCCCGACCCCGAGGCAGGTACCGCCCAGGACTCCAGGAGCTTGCGTGCCACCGAGGCAAGGTACGAAGCAAGCCGCAGGTGCTGCCCGGGTGCCTTGCAGCTCAGGTCTGCTGCTGCCTTCACCGGCGGCAGTTGGGGGAAGAGGGTGGCCGCTCGGGTCAGGTGACAACGCCCCAACCGCCAGAGCAATGACGTCGTCACGTAAGGTTTCGCCTGCCACAGAGGAAACCACACAGCGTGCCACGTCTGCTTCATGACTCCGAGCCGATTTCAGAGACACATTGTGCAAGGACGGTCGTGATCTCGCTGAAGCCAGCAACTTAAACCCTCCTTGACACTCTCACGCGCCATTCTGTGTCTTCACGCTGCAGTACCTCCCACACCCGCACTCACGCCCGAGACCAACCCCACAGCTTCGTTCCTCTCACACCTTGGCCAAGAGGTCAACCATCACCAGCTATGCCTCCCATCCAAATCCACAGCGAAAGCCCAATCAACGCCTCCAAGGCTTCGGGACCGACTCTGCAGACCGAGGCGGCACAGGCCAACAACGCCAGCGCCGACAACGCCAACGGCATCTCCAATAACGCTGCTGGACTATCCCAAGGTCAAGTCGGCGCAACCCCATCATCCACCCGCCAGCAGCCATACCCGCCGGCACAGCCTGGTGCCGCCCCATCTCTCCCTGTTCAGACAGCGTCGGCGCAAGCATATCCCATCCCGCGGCCAACTCCAACTACCACCACGGATGATGTCAACCATCCGCCGCCGCCCCAGCCAGGTGCAGTTCCTGTCCCCGTGGCAGCCAACAAATCGACCCTGCCTCCGCCTCCGAAGGCGGTCGAGGCCTACCAACCTCCAGCCCCGACGCCCGCAACTCAGGCCACCGTTCCTTACCCTCCTCAGATGGCCATTCCTCCTCCGACCATGTCTGCCCAGCGAGGGTCTTCCACGTCTACCACCGCTGCTAATGGACCTCAGATGACTGGTCCGCGACCCATCCCGCTAGGAGTCGATCCTGCTTCTAGCCTTGAACACCCGCCAGGATACCAGCAAAACGTTGGTGCGTCTGAATTCTCCAGCCACCAGCGAGCTGCTCACAATGCCGCGGTAGCATCGGCGGCGGAGAGAGGTTCCCTTGCCCAGTCGGACGAAGGTGTCTGGGACACGGCAAAGAAGTGGGCTGCTGCTGCTGGCGGTTCACTTGCCGCAGCGGAGCAAGAGGTTTGGCGAAGAATCAATAAAGACTAGAACAGCACTTACGGGCTGAATGTTAATCAATGCCTCTTTGTCAAATAGGAGGATGTCGCTTTCTCGGTCTGACAGTCGCCATGTTGTGAAACTGACCAAGAATCGCTTTGAAGGCTAGCAATCGGCCACTGCCACCGCACTTCAATCTGCTCGCCCAGGTACGGCGGTATAGCTGGCGGTATCTTGTCAGTCGCCAACACCCAGCATCAGATGCCTAGCCATGTGGCCCTCATCCCTAGTCACGAACGCTCCAGGTTGATCCATCATAGGCTCTCGCATCAACTTTAGCGCCTCGTCGCTCGCTCACCTTCGCTACGAAGTCTTTCTAAACCCACTTTGAGGTGGTTCTACCGAAGTTCCTTTTTACCCTCAAACCCCGATACCAGCCTAGGTCACGATCTGGCGAGAGCGCGTCCAAGAGTGAAAAGCCGCGTAAACTATAGCATCCGCGGCAGGCTATTTGCGGCTCCTATTCCTTGCGTCAAGTTACACTAATACGATGCGCAGCCAGGGGAGACTTCTAATCCTGTCGAGCCAGTCATTTCCCACCGTCCCGTGAGGGCGTCGGCCTGGCTCGGACTATGGTAAACATCAAACACATCAGTTGATAAAACGTCTACTAACATAGCGCACCACAGAGTTCATCGCTACCCTGTTTGGCCCCTTTCTCCTGGCGGCTGTCGATGGGATCTTGTCAGCCTCCCCCATTGATCCGCCTGATGTAGGCTGCCCACTATCGAGCCGACTCGACAAGCAATCGACGGCGGGGAAGGGTCGCGTCATCATTGGTCTGTGATCTCCATAAGAGCCGATTTATAGACAGCGGCCACGGCTGGAGAGTTGGCGTAATTTCCCAAAACGTCCGAGGTTGTCATGCAAGCAACACGGCCAGTCCCTGTCAGCGGCCAGCCCGCCAGACCCACAGAACAACTCATCGAAGGCTCGGTAGAAGCTAACCAGCGGAGACCGCAAGCTGAGGGAGGCCACCGGCGCGAGACGTGGTATTCTCGCACAGACGAAGAGGTCAAGGCAAGACCTGCCGAGCAGCTTTCCCACCTACGAATCTGATCTATCGAGAGGATTGTGTCGTCAAACTTATCTCGTGGCGTGTGACGGCGTCTAGACGGAAGTCCGCGACCGATATCCTGAGTAGGAAAGCTACGCTAAGTTTCACTAACGCTGGACAACACACAGAGCCCTATGAGAGAGTTTTTGACGGATTGAAGATGTGCGTGGTTAGCGCCACCTCAGTTCTCGCAGTGGCTTGTTTGTCGCCAACGGATAGGCTCAACAAGCTTTAACAACATACGGATTGTTCCTGTTGGTGACGATGGAGGACGGGAACCACTTTACGCGTGTACATTCCGTGGGATAGCGGCCCCCGAGGCGTGAAGCCGCGCCCGCTATCCAGGATGTGATGGCGGGAGCCGACGAACCTCATAGGCTAGTGACTTCTGGCATTTGTCAGGGTGCCCATGTCCGCCAGAGCTATAGCGGATTTGTATTATATGCCAAACGACACTCCACCAACGACCCAGGCACACAAATGGAAGCCAGAGCCTGGAGGCATTAACATGACGCGTGTTATTGCCGCCAAGTGGCTGGTCGGTCGCTGAATGATTGGGCTTTTTCTGGCAGTTTTCTCTGTTTTTAGGAGAGGAAGTTGCTTTTTCCCGATGGGTTGATGATGTCGACTTTCAGCCAGTTTTCAGCTTTGGAATGTGGCTCCGGACAACTAGCCCACATGGGCCCATCGTGGCACAATTCTGGATCAGTACAGAGTAGACGAGGGGGCGAATCACATTGTGCGGAAGACGAGGTGGCCGCGGCTCGCCTCAGGCGCGTCAAGGGACGGGAACGCGGGGCTTCGGCGAAGGAGGAGGAGGGGGAGGGGGAGGGGTAACCAGTCGCGAGGCCGGATTCGTTGGATCGTCACCACGAGTGAACCCTCCTGGCGCAAGAGCCAAACCGGACCAGCTGGCCTCCACGGAAGAGGAAGGTTAAGGTTGCGACGACAACGAGGTGGTGAATAAGCAGCCGGAGGACACACGATCTAGAGGACAGCTGGCTTCTTGGTTAGAGAATCCGGTTTGATGTCGACCTTGAGGTGCCGTCTGGAACTGGCCAGTTGCGGACCAGTCTCACGTCTCATACAAGAGCCCCAAACGCCAGAAGGTGTGCGGGGTAGTATTTGATTTACTCACGCCGCAGACCGATCTTGATTTGAGTTCGGGCCAAGGACTTGAGTTTTTCTGGCAGCATCTGCGAAGGCGGATAAGATGGAGATGAACGCACACAGGCTCACGACGGCAAGATTGGACCAGACCAACTGACGGCTTAGAGGGTGTTTGGATAGTAGCTCTGGCGGCCACTGCGAGACTCGATATGCGAGCGAGACCGAAGATATTGTTAGGCCATATGCATTTGAGGCTAGCAGCTGCAGGCTAGACAGGCGCAAGGCCTTCTGGGCCTACATGTAGACAGGTGGGACGGAGTGA